CAGATTATATTCAGATTGTAGTTTACATGAAACCAGCAGATTATATTCAGATTGTAGTTTACATGAAACCAGCAGATTATATTCAGATTGTAGTTTACATGAAACCAGCAGATTATATTCAGATTGTAGCTAACATGAAACCAGCAGATTATTTTCAGATTGTAGTTTACATGAAACCAACAGATTATATTCAGATTGTAGTTTACATGAAACCAACAGATTATATTCAGATTGTAGTTTACATGAAAACAGCAGATTATATTCAGATTGTAGTTTACATGAAACCAGCAGATTATATTCAGATTGTAGTTTACATGAAACCAGCAGACTATATTCAGATTGTAGTTTACATGAAACCAGCAGATGACAAGGAAAACAGTAAAAATGGAAACTATATCAACTGTGTTTGTAATGTTCTAAATAAAGACAGGTAATATGATTATTTCAGAACAAAATTTTTTTATTTTGTAAAATATAAATCTGTATTTATTTAAATATAATATTTTGTTGACAAAAACCATCAATTATCTTAAGGCGAAAGTTTTGCATCCTAAATCTGTGGGTTCAGAATTTAGACGATCCTACCCTTTTTAATTGGTTAACCTTGAAGGCTATAATGATTTTTAACAAACTCTCCGGTTTATATATATTCTAGGCTTTTAGGACGCTTCGCGTCCATCTTCTAATTCAACTTTTAATTGTGGCTTTATCTGTGAGCATCTGCTCTTTGTACAGTATAAAATTTCTTTTTTAAAGTTTTAAGTTTTTGAAATTTTGATCATGCATAAACCTTCCCTGATAAACCTTCCTTGGGGTCACGTGAGGTCGCATACCAAATTTGGGCCCGATCGGTTCGGCCGTTCTGAGGTTTATTGAATACAAACAGACAATCAGACAGACAAGCAAAGTATTCGCGAATTTGGACTTAGATTCTTCAATTTAATCGTTTACATTGGGAATATAGAATATAAATGTATCTGGTATTCATTAGTTTTCTATCGACTATATCTGATATATCTGGTATTTATTAGTTTTCAACCAACTATATCTGATGTATCTGATATTTATTAGTTTTCTACCGACTATATCTAAAGTATCGGGTATTTGTTAGTTTTCTACCAACTATATCTGATGTATCTGGTATTTATTAGTTTTCTACCGACTATATCTGTGTTGTCGCAAAGGAACAAGATTCTGACGATGAACAGATAGACAAGGTATAATCCACGAATCAAAATCGATAATGCAGAAAACTCTTTATTTCCTAAAAAAATAACGAAGTGAATAATGATAAATAATTATTACAGGGTTTACAAATTTATAATGAAAAGATTCTTACGATCTATTTTCCTATTCGTGAGACTATCTGATACTGACTATATCTGATATATCTGGTATTTATTAGTTTTCTACCGACTATATCTGATGTATCTGGTATTTATTAGTTTTCTACCGACTATATCTGATATATCTGGTATTTATTAGTTTAGTTTAGTATTCACTAGTTTTCTACCGACTATATCTGATGTATCTGGTATTTATTAGTTTTCTACCGACTATATCTGATGTAGCTGGTATTTATTAGTTTTCTACCAACTATATCTGATGTATCTGGTATTTATTAGTTTTCTACCGACTATATCTGATGTATCTGTTATTTTTTAGTTTTCTATCCACTATATCTGATGTAGCTGGTATTTATTAGTTTTCTACCGACTATATCTGATGTAGCTGGTATTTATTAGTTTTCTACCAACTATATCTGATATATCTGGTATTCACTAGTTTTCTACCGACTATATCTGATGTATCTGGTATTTATTAGTTTTCTACCGACTATATATGATGCATCTGGTATTTATTAGTTTTCTACCGACTAATCTGTTGTTTCTGGTATTTATTAGTTTTCTATGGACTATATCTGATGTAGCTGGTATTTATTAGTTTTCTACCGACTATATCTGATGTATCTGGTATTTTATAGTTTTCTACCGACTATATCTGATATATCTGATATTAATTAGTTTTCTACCGACTATATCTGATATATCTGGTATTTATAAGTTTTCTACCGAATATTTCTGATATATCTGGTATTTATTAGTTTTCTACCGACTATATCTGATATATCTGATGGGTGTGATGAAAGCTGGTGTCCCCCTGCTCCAGGACCCTGTGGATCTATACAGTAAACATATTTTTAATGGGAGTATTCAGATTATAAGGGTAATATGGAAGGTACTAATTGTTAATAACAGGCATTCTTTTGTTCTACTTATACGTCTAACCCCCAAAAAATTAAAATCAATTGTAATTTTACTTGTAAAAATTTGTCTCAATTGATCTTTTTTAATTCCATTTTCTTTACCGACGCCTAGCGAAATAGTCATACTCTAATTAAAAAAGCTTTCTTTCTGCATCCGTTCAGAGCAGTATACATTTTTAGAAATATTATTTAAAAATTTAAATATTTGAGACAAAATTAATCTACATATTTTAATATATTTGTTTATTTATATGAACATGCAATTGTATATAGAACATCTATCTAAAATTAGGAAAAAATAATAATTTTTTTTCAAAAAAAAAAAATTAAAAAGTTGGACAATTTCAGACCCGGGTTGGGCGGATATAGTCTTTACTGTCAATGGCCTTCGAACCCAAATGGCACGGATGCATGTTTTGATCTGATAGCTAACCCAGAATCTTTTTATAAGAACTCACCTGCAAGGTTTACACCTTTAGGTAATCATAATGTAACAATGCCAAAACTCCGAAAGGGTTTCTAAGTATTCTCTAACTCACACTTAAAGCTCTCTGAATCTGTTTCTCTACCAAATATTGATTAACACAACCATACGTAGTCAGAGTCTATATCCAACTAACTATATTTAGATATAATGGTACATAATGGTGTATCACAAGGTACAAAGCTGATTTCATTTATTTATTACAATGATTATGGCAACAAATGTATATTTGTATACTCAGAGCTATGAACCTCCATTTAAAGAATGGGATGCATAATTCACAACGGTACCCTTTTTCTGATCAATGATGTGGGAGATAGTGTCATTTTTCAACTAGAAAAGTATTTAATTCTCACAACTTCCTCAATTATTTCTGCAGCAGAAATCTGCAATTCATTATTAAAATAATACATTTTCAAAAATAGATTTTAATCTTGATTTAACTTTAAATCTTTTAAGGATTCTATTTTCCCTTAAACTTGTGTTTACAAAAGTATATTTAAAGGAATTGCTTACTTACACCTTACTGAGCGCGCTTTTTATATAGTTTTTAACTATGTCTCTACTCATGCATTATACAACTTATATGTTCTTACTTCTTATTCTATAGTTTTTAACTATGTCTTTACTCATGCATTATACAACTTATAGTTTTTAACTATGTCTTTACTCATGCATTATACAACTTATAGTTTTTAACTATGTCTTTACTCATGCATTATACAACTTATATGTTCTTACTTCTAATTCTTACAGGAACGACCCAAAATCCCACCACTGAACTAACTGAACCTACTACAGCATCTATTAAACCTTCTACTGCAACGTCATTACTATCTACAGTAAAACCATCTACTGCAACTCCTACAACTGAAAACCCGACTCCAACACCAGGTTGTGATATGTGCCCTGGTAGAAATGATAGCAGAGGACACTATTGGGAGTCTGCGTGTGCGGGAGAGATTATTGTCAAAGACACATATTGTCCTTTCAACACCACAGGTAGTAAATTATATCCATATTGTTTATTTTCCATTCACGTGCTCATTTCCATTCACGCGCTCATTGCCATTCACGCGCTCATTTCCATTCACGTGCTCATTGCCATTAACGTGCTCATTTCCATTCACTGACTCATTACCATTTAACGGGTTCATTTCCATTCACGTGCTCATTTCCATTCAAGTGCTCATTTCCATTCACGTGCTCATTTCCATTCACGTGCTCATTTCCATTCACGGGCTCATTTCCATTCATATAGATCCAGAATCAAAGTATCGCAACGACTTGCCTCACTAACCACAAATGCTTTTCCGCATAGGCATGTACATTGTACATGTCAGAACTATAAAGCACTTGTTTTTAGCTTTATTTTTGCAAAATTAATTGGATACATTTTCCTCAATTTCTGTGCGAGAGCTTTCACCCTTTGGATCACTGTGTAACTATCAATAAAATAATAAAATAATTTTATTTTGATAAACTTGATGTTTTTTTTTACAGGGTCAGCCACTTGGACATGTGACAACATAACACTAACATTCACGTAAGTTATTAATAGAAAAAGTTGTATATATTTTTAACAAATAAAAAAAGATTTCTTTCAAATTCTATTTTTCATTTTTGTAAAAATGTCTGTATTTTTAAAGTCCCCGACGACTTCCCCCCCCCCCTTCCAAACCCATTAAAAATTTACATCTTTGGAATATTCCCATTAACAGTCCTATCCATAGCGCTCGGTCCCCAATCTTGCCCTAACTGTAAAGCTTGGCCCTTACACTGTACTAGCGATTTAGCTTTTTTAATGGCGTTGGGGGGGGGGGGTGCTTGTTTTAGGAATGGAAGCCAAAACTTTACAAAAATTAATTGTCTTTCAAAGAAAAAATATTTTTAGACCAGAGGAACCAGATAGAACCAGTTGCTATGCTGAATGGTTAGATAATGTAGAAAATATGGTACATTTTTAGTTTAAAAAAGTTGTCCAAAAAGGCGTCTGCCTTGTTAATATTTAAAAAAATAGATATTGGATGTGTGAGACGTTTTTATTTAATGAAATAAAACCAGACCGTAATTATTTTTTATCTCGTTTGATTTTAAAAGCACAAAAAATATTCTTAAAATGCCGGTACTAATTTTTGTTAATTTTTAAAAGCATAAATGTTAAATTAAGTTCACACATAAAGATTAATGGCAAGATCAATCTCAAAAAAGAACACTTATCTAAACTTATTAAAAAAAGTATTTTGTTAAATGGGACATGGTATGAACTTTATTTAGTCCAAGAACAGCACTGCAGACCGGAAAAAGATTACTGAAGAGATTTTGCGGCATCTATCCACAGAAAATATTACGAGCGGAACGCTTATTAGGATTATTATGGTAATTCTCTTTATTTCAATAATTTTCTAAAACTATTTTTTAAATTTTTTCATACATTTTTTAAAAACATTTTATATCAGGTTGGTATTGAAATGTCATCTCCAATTGAAACCCTGCAACCTGTTCTAACGGACAGTGATGCTTTTTTTAATTCTAAAAACATTACTAAAGATTATTTACAGGTATAGATACAATTACATTTTATTAAAATAAAGAGTAAATAAAAATATTTAATCAATCTAATCAATGTATTATCGATCGGAAGAAACCTGAAAATTGATTTTAACTGAACTGAACTAATATTAATATATTTTTTTTAAACCAGTAACTTCATTTAAAAATTGTTTTAAACTTTTAAACATAAAGAATCATTTTTCAGATTGCTAGTGATCTTTTTAAAATTTTGATAGCTAGTGATATATTTATATTTTAAATAGCATGTAATCTTTTAAACATTCTAGATTGCCAGTGATCTTTTTATATTTTAGATGGCTATTGATCTTTTTATATTTTAAATTGTTAATGATCTTTATATATTTTAGATAGTTAGTGATCTTTTTTATATTCTAGATTGCTAGTGCTATTTTATATTTTAGATGGCTATTGATCTTTTTATATTTTAAATTGCTAATGATTTTTATATATTTTAGATAGTTAGTGATCTTTTTATATTGTAGATAGCTATAGTGATCTTTTTATATTTTAGATAGCTAGTGATATTTATATATTACTAGGCTTTCTTCTATTTAAATGGTGAACATGTTCTTTTTGTTTACATTTTAAAACAAAGAAGAAAAAAATTCGCGGATTTTCATGAATATAAATTTTTTACAAAATTAAAAAACCTTTAAAACACATTTTTTTAAATTTTTATCATTCATAAACCTTCCCTGTGGTCACGTAATGTCCCACAAAAAATGTGGGCCCGATCGGTTCAGCCGTTTTGACGTTTATTGGATAAAAAACAAACAGACAGACAAACCAAATTTTTATATAGACAGATAGCTAGTGATCTTTCTATATTCTAGATTGCTAGTGATATTCTTATATTTTAAATAGCTACAGTGATATTTTTATACTATAGATAGCTAGCGAGCTTTTTAAAGTTTAGATAGCTTGTGATCTTTTTATATTCTATAAATTGCCAGTGATATTTTTATATTCTATAAATTGCTAGTGATATTTTTATATTCTAGATAGCTAGTGATCTTTTTATATTTTAGATGCTAGTGATATTTTTATATTCTAGATAGCTAGTGATCTTTTTCAACAAAAACTAGCATGGAAAGAAATGGAGAGTAGCGAACAAGTAAACTATTTTAATAACATTTATCATAAAAATTGAAACAATTTGTCTAATAAGGAAATTTTTTGATACAATCAAATGTATTCTGTAAAAAAACACCCAAATTTAATTATGTATTAAAAATTAAATTAACCACAAAAAGTTTTTAATATTTAATTATAATTTTAAAATTTAATTTTTAGGCATTTAACAGTTTTGAGTTGGTTCGATCAAATGAACTCATGGCATACAAACACCTAGGTATCAAACAAGGGGACTCAAAAAAATATGACAAAAACAATTGAACTGACTTTTTGGATCCCAACTTTCCCTGAAAACTAAACTTTCTTTAAAAAAAGTAAACTCATTAAACTTAGCTAAGAACATTCTCGTGGTTCTTCTAACAAGTTCAACAATCAAAATTTGAGACAGGTCGGTCAAATATTTCCGGAGTTCTGATCGGACATACAAACATACAGAGATTACTACTTTATAAGTATATGTATATGTGTATTTTATTTTATTTCTTGATGTTCTAGCATTAACAATTTGGAGTTTAGTGGGCACTGTTCCACCCCCCCCCCCTCCTAATACATTCTTGATCTAAATATATTTCAGATTATGTACACACAGAAGATATAGACTCAGATTTAGCTGAACTACCGTACACAGATACCACTTTTGTGGACAATAGGTTTTTAAATTCATCTTTATATATTTTGCTTGTCTAATATGCATGAAAACAGCTGAACCATGCCGGCCCAAAATTTGTTGTGGGACCTGACGGAACCCAAGGGAAGGTTTATGGATGATTGAAATTTCAAAAATTTGTCTCGAACAAAATTCGATTTTCATTAAATTTTTGAAAATTTTGAAAATCCATGAAATTTTTTTGAAATCCGCGAAAAGAACATGTTTACACTTGAAATAAAACCCTAGTTTATTATCATCATTATTATAAAAAGAAATGTACATTGCCCTGAATTTTGTGCGATAATATTTCATTCAATACAAGACTTTTAGGGCGCTTTGAGTTGGTAATTCTTTCAGCTTTTAAAGTATTGCATTTCCCCTGTAATACGCTTGTTTTATGCAGATTGCAGATTTTTCTGGATTTATTTGGGGATTTTTTAAATTCAAATAATTCAAATTCTGGGGGCATGCTAACCACCGAACAACGCAAATTTTCAATCAAGTGAGTCAAAATTGTCAATATCGTTTTATTTTTCCTTGTTTAGAAACATGATAAAACTTCATCTCTCCTCTGGAGCTGAAAATACATCTGCTGGACTACCCCCCTGGATAAAGTAATTTTTAAAACAATTCTATCCTGGTGGAATGTACAGTCAGAGAGGTCGCTGAACAATCTCACACCGCTTGCTGGCTAACATTTTGAATCGCCGATTCAAAGTTTAGCTGAACCATCACCTACGTTGTTCAACGACTTCTCGCAATTCATTAAACCCAATCCTAGTGTTGTCATTTTTTATGTCTCCAGATTTTTCTTTTGCTTCTTGAATTTATATTTGGTTCAAAAGTTGTCAAAAGTTCTTATAAAAACATTCACAGTTCAATAAAATTAAAACTGTTATTTGAACGAAATTTAAAGAGTTAAAGAAAAAATATAATAATGAGTTGATAATTTTAATTGTTTTTTTTTATTTTAAGTTTTACCTTTCATATTATCTTTTTTATCTTTACTATTTTTTTAACCAGTTAGTAAAGGAAGATAAAATGATTGTAAGAAAGAATTATCATCTGAAACTACTATGAAAAAAAGCCAAACTTTTCTAACTTTTAAAGTAAAATCGTTAAAACCTTTAGCATATTAAATATCCTGCTCATATGTTACAACAATAATGAATGTACATATAATCATTGTTTAAATTTTTATTAATTATAATTTTTTTTACTTTAAACGTGGATGCTTTTAGGATGCAAGGTTCTTGGCTTCAAGATATAGATGCAGGGATGGATAAAAAGCTTTTCAAAATTTATTCACAAATATACATATAAATATAATTATTACGATGCGAATATTAAGTTTTAAAAATATTCTTTTTATAATATATAAAAAAACTTAGTCAAGAAACCTTTACAAGATTTATTCTAAATAGCTTATTTAACAGATAACAATACTGATATCTTTGGAGCCTCATATAGCAAAGGTTAGTGAACACAAAAGAGTAGTTTCAGAAAATAAATGTTTTATTTTCAGATCTCTTTCCCCGTGGAATTTTCAGGTAATTCTTTGTTAGAATTTCTGATAAGAAGCGTAAACTTGTAAAATATTTTTATTAGTCAGTAGGCAAAGTACATTCCTTTATAAAAACCTGTTTTAATCTGTAACACTTTTCATTAAATCTTGCTATTCTAAAATACTTATGCAGTTCCGTTTTAAAACCAGCTTTTTACAAAAAAATGTCATTTACTCTGAGAGTATAAACAATACATTTTCAAGATAGTTTCCAAAGGTTTGATAAATAATTCTCTTATTTTAGAATGCAAAGGAAAATTATAAGCATTAGTTTTCCAGTAAAGCTTTATTCATGAAAAGTTACGTAAATAATAAATATTTATTTTGATAAAACAGGACAGATGATACATTTTTAATCAAACAGTACAGATGATACAGTTTCAATAATACAGTACAGATGATTCATTTCTAATAAAACAGGACAGATGATTCATTTCTAATAAAACAGGACAGATGATTCATTTCTAATAAAACAGGACAGATGATTTAGTTTTAACAAAACAGGACAGATGATTCGGTTTTAATAAAACAGGACAGATGATTCATTTCTAATAAAACAGGACAGATGATTCATTTCTAATAAAACAGGACAGATGATTCATTTCTAATAAAACAGGACAGATGATTTAGTTTTAACAAAACAGGACAGATGATTCGGTTTTAATAAAACAGGACATATGATTCAGATAAAATCAATTAGGACATATTATTCAGTTTTGGCAAAACAGGACATATAATTCAGCTTTAATCAAACAGGACAGATGATTCAGTTTTAATCCAACAGGACAGATGATTCGGTTTTAATAAAACAGGACAGATGATTCGGTTTTAATAAAACAGGACATATGATTCAGATAAAATCAATTAGGACATATTTGGCAAAACAGGACATATAATTCAGCTTTAACAAACAGGACAGATGATTCAGTTTTAATCAAACAGGACAGATGATTCAGTTTTAATCCAACAGGACAGATGATTCGGTTTTCGAAGGAAGAACAAACAATATTGTTTTCAACACCATCAATACTATTTTATCTTTTAGGTAAACTTTATTCTTTTTGTTATTTATAAGATTAGTTTATACATATTTATAATTTAATCTTTACTTTTAGTATTAACAAACAACCTATTGAGTTCAATGGTTCAACAGTTCTAATTCACTTTGATCATCAAAATAAATCATTGGTAATCAAAATCTTGAATAAAGTTCTTTTAATTTTGTATCCTTAAGAAATCTGAAGGAAAAATGTTAAATTTTAAATTAAAAATATTGTTCAAAAAAGCAAAAATTGACAAGTCTTGATCAAAAGTCTCTCTGAAAAAAATTTGCAGTAACAAAGATATTTAAAAAATTTTCAAATTCAATCATTGAATGAGTTAAAAAATGGAAATAGAGAACCTTAAAAAAAATTAAAATTTTTTCAAAAATCTAAAGTGATGTAAAAAATATTATGTTAGGCTTGTTCTTTCTGTAAACGACAATGTGTCTCCTGGGACGAGAAAGAACATTTATTTACATCAAGAGGATGCTCGGTAAACAAAAAAAACCCAAAAAAATCCACGGCCCCCCGTGCCTCTTGAAAAATAAGCCATGGCTAATTCTTCAAAGATAAAATTTCAAATTTTTAAGAATTGTATTAATTTATTAATAAAATTCCAAAAAAGTAGCATCACGAGAATTGCCCTGGAAGGGACTGGTTCATTTGGTATACCGTCCTGTTTTGCCTGGAATAATCTGTATCTGTACTGTACTGTTTAGGTTCAGTTTTCTAAATTGTGTGTTGTTTAGGTTCAGTTTTCTAAATTGTATGTTGTTATGGTTCAGTTTTCTAAATTGTATGTTGTTAAGGTTCAGTTTTCTAAATTGTTGTTGTTAAGGTTCAGTTTTCTAAATTGTATGTTGTTATGGTTCAGTTTTCTAAATTGTATGTTGTTAAGGTTCAGTTTTCTAAATTGTATGTTGTTAAGGTTCAGTTTTCTAAATTGTATGTTGTTATGGTTCAGTTTTCTTAATTGTATGTTGTTAAAGTTCAGTTTTCTATATTGTAGGCTGATAAGTTTCTTTCTATTTTGTATATTGTTAAGGTTCAGTTTTCTAAATTGTACGCTGTTAAGGTTCAGTTTTCTATATTGTACGCTGTTAAGGTTCAGTTTTCTAAATTGTATGTTGTTATGGTTCAGTTTTCTAAATTGTATGTTGTTTAGGATCAGTTTTCTAAATTGTGCGCTGTTAAGGTTCAGTTTTCTAAATTGTACGCTGTTAAGGTTCAGTTTTCTAAATTGTGCGCTGTTTAGGTTCAGTTTTCTAAATTGTGCGCTGTTCAGGTTCAGTTTTCTAAATTGTGCGCTGTTCAGGTTCAGTTTTCTAAATTGTATGTTGTTTAGGATCAGTTTTCTAAATTGTGCGCTGTTCAGGTTCAGTTTTCTAAATTGTGCGCTGTTCAGGTTCAGTTTTCTAAATTGTGCGCTGTTCAGGTTCAGTTTTCTAAATTGTATGTTGTTTAGGATCAGTTTTCTAAATTGTGCGCTGTTCAGGTTCAGTTTTCTAAATTGTACGCTGTTAAGGTTCAGTTTTCTAAATTGTGCGCTGTTCAGGTTCAGTTTTCCAACAAGACGATGACAATTTGTGAATGTTCTCACTTAACAAATTTTGGATTAATGTTCGATATTAACAACGCATTTCAAGATTGGGACCCAGTTCAAACTAAAATACTCAGGTAAAGGAATTGAGTTTTTCCCACAACATCAAATCTTCTAATCCCTATATTTTTCTACCTAATAAGTTGAAAACCTTTGTTGTTTCAAACTTAAAAGTTTACGACATTGGGTTGCAAAGCTAGAGAAAGGGATTAGAAAATTCGAGTTTTTTGGCAAATACTTAATTCCTTTGAGTTATTTATTTCAACCATTAAGTGTTTTTTAATCAACAAACTTTCTGAAAAAGAGGGACAAAAGTTATCAAAAATTGCGAAATTTCCAAAATTCCATGAGTATTTTACAAAATTTTCTAAAAGAAACTCGACATTTCTAATAATGAACCACGAATTCTACTAGATCAAAAAGGAATTGAGTCTTTGCCACCATCAGGTTGCAAAGATATAGAGATTAGAAAATTTGAGTTTGTGACAAAGACTCAATTCCTTTCTAGTTTAAAATGTCTAAGGTGATTGACAGCTATAAATATTTGAAAGAAAGGATTTGCAGCCAATTTTGTTTTATTAGAAATTAGAAAAGGAATTTAGAAATTCACAAATTCCTGAGTATTTGGGAAATGTATTTTTACATTTTTGTAAAATGTATTTTTACATTTTTGTGATCAGTAAAAAATATACAATTTTTTCCTTTTCAGTATTTTGTCTGATATTCTGCTTTCTTTTTCGTGTGTCTGTGCTTTTGCCACCTTCGTTATTCTGAACCTGAGCAAGTAAGAGTATTTTAGGGGTTCGTTTCATTATTAAACGGTCTATAGTGCACCTCTATTCATAGAGAGCATGTATTATTTACAACAGTACCCTTGCAACATTCGTCTGAGCAAAATTCTTTAAGATAAGTCATTTTTCTATCAAAAGTTTTACTTTCTCAAAAGAAGTGACTTTAGGATTTATGCACCTAAGTTATAAATGTAAACTGACAGATTTGATCTTAAAAAAAGAACAATTATTTCTCACATAAAGGTTTAAAAATACCACTCTTTACATACAGTGGATTAAATATAAATTAAGTTGATAGACCATAAAATGTGTCTTGTTTTTCTTTATATCGTTAACTACAGTGGTAAGCGATTATATCAATACAATGAAAACGACTTTTTACTTAAGTTTTGATTGTGCACAAGCTTTTTCAAATAACAAGTTTACAAGTAATAAAAGGACGTCTTCATTGTATTGATTTTATCGACCACCAGCACTGTAACTTAATTTTTTAGGCTTCCAGGAAGTCCAAGAATCAATATTGTTAAAAATAGAGCTTTTTCTCTTTTTGGTCTCTACTTTCTCTTTCTCTTAGGGTTTGATAAAAATCAATTCGATCTCCCACAAAATATAAAGTAAGTTAGAATTTATATTTTCATGTCACTTTGCCTTAAATACCATCCCTGATTTTTTCATGTCCATATAAATTGTCCTATTCTACGCCCATGTCCATTTCTGACCTTTAAATTGTCCTACTTACACCCATGTCCATTTCTGACCTCTAAATTGTCCTACTCTACGCCAATGTCCATTTCTGACCTTTAAATTGTCCTACTTAGGCCCATGACCAATTAGAGGTTAAAATTATCTCGACCACGTCAAATCTCCCTCGAAAATGCTCCATAAAAAAACTCACCCCGCAAAAAAAATAATATCCCACGCTTTCGAATAGTTTAAATGATTTTTAAGTTAATTTTTGTTTAAAAATGTTCAGGGATATATCTTGTTCAATAGTTGCGATACTTCTTCACTTTTTTGGACTTTCCACTTTTTGTTGGACTCTACTAGAGGGGTTACAGCTTAACAAGTCATTGGAGGTAGAAAAAAATTTTGCTATTGCACGTTCTAGATTTTTTTCTGTGAACAATCTAAGTTTAAATTATTGATGATTATTGCTGAGCAAAAAAGGTTTTAGCTGATTTTTCCTCAATTTCAGGCCAATACTCTGACAGATATAGATAGAAGAAAGTACACCAAACTTCTTAGATATCTGTTCGGATATGGTGCTCCCCTTAGCATCATAACATTAACATTAGGTCAGTTGAAAACCTTGAAAATTTAACTTATTTTCTAAATTGCATATTTTTTCAGGAATTACGTATGTTTTGGGTTTTGATCAAAGTGCATATCAGAATACAGAGGTGTACTGCTGGCTTAGGAATGGATATTTTTTAAATCTTTTCTTTCTTCTTGCAAAATTGCATTTATTTAAGAGACTGTTGTTTAAAATCTATGATAATCATATATTACATCATATTGAAAAATTAAAGTTAAACATTGTTCTGTGAATGATTTCTGGAGGGCCAAGGATTTTTTTTCTTCAAAATAATGTTAACATCAAAATAGAAGTTGTGCTTCCTTTTTTTTAAAAACAACGTTTACATTTTTTTCCAAAATTGTTTACATTTTTTTCCAAAATTGTTTACATTTTTTTCCAAAATTGTTTACATTTTTTTACTACGAGTTGCAAGAAATTAAAGATTTTTAAGGTTTTTATATAACTTTAGAATGTAATCTAAGAAAACTAAGCTAAATGAAGACACCAGATTCTTAAATTTTTGTTTATCCCAAATATTTAAAATAATTGTATGGAAACAGATTTATAGACACATGCAAACTATAATATTAGAAAATTATTCAATTGAAATATTAAGTAAAGAAAATAATCGTATATTCTTAGAGAGAAGGATTTTATATTAGCATTTGCTGTTCCTGCTGGAGTAGTTATAGTCTTCAACCTTTACGTCTTTGCAAAATCATTCAGGTTTCTAGATTTCAGGTTTTTTAACGGGAGGGGACTATCCATTTATATAGTTACAACACGATTCACAACGGTACTGTTCAAACTTTAACACATATGAATTAGACAACTAAGAAGGTTAAATTATACTATACATTACTGGTTATGAAAATAAAAATAAACAATATCTGCTGTTTCATGGGTTTCAGCAAATCGTTTCAAAAATTTCAAAACAATTTCAAAAACGAAAGTGCATATTCCTTAACATCGACATCCTTAAAAAATGCAGAAAATTCTTTTAACCGAGATATTTTTTTAAACAATTTATTATTTTTGAATTTTTAATCTTAAAAATTGGATACCGTTTTTTTGTTTTTTTTTCTTAAACAATTTATTATTTTTTAATTTTTAAATCTTTTAAACTGGATACATTTAATAAAATATTGGATACAGTTGATACAGAAAAAATCTGATTTTATTATTCTTCTTCTCATTGTTTCTCTCCTAGCTTATATTCCTTTTTTCTTGTCCCTTTGTTGACTGTCCGTGATTCTGATAATTTTGAAAAAAATAAAATATTGTCGAAACCAGTATTTTTGAGACACAATCGTAATTGTATGATCTGTATTCTGATTCTGCAGACTCATTTTCTGCTGCAGTTGTTAGTTTTCAGTTTTATTTCAAAACCAGGAATGCCTGACCTGACAAGATGATCAGACTTGAAGGTTTAGGCAGAGGGGAACGTTAGGCAGTTATTTCAATTTTATTCTGTACTTTGAGTTTTGTGTCCAAATCCTAGTTTCGCCTAGTGATCTAAAAAATGGAGCCCACAACATTTGTCCACAATGAAATCAATTCCAAATGCTGTTTGTGACAAATAGGTAGGGTTGAGGTGAAGGAGGTGGAAATTTTGAGTGGGTCAGGAAGGGAGGGTTTCGTGGGATTCCCATAGAAAATCCCTACTTTTTCCCTTCTCTTCATGGTTCCCACTGTGCGGCATTTTAGGTTACACATTGGAGTTGCACTGCATGTACATAAATTATTGGGGAGTTGCCGCTGTTGTACCTCAGAATACTGCCTCGTCTACAGTAATCTTTTCCTCGCAGACGGCAGTGAAAAAACCCGTATCATTGTGCATGGTGCACCCAGGGGCGGACATAAGGATTCTGTAGGGGGGGTAAATATTTTTAATTTGGCGCGCGAAGCGAGCCGAATTTTTTTTTACCCCCCCTAGAAAAATATCATGATGTATATCAAATTATTGGTTTTAATTGGGTTTGATTTGCATTTTCCACTCATTTCTGGGATTTACAAACTCAATCTAATAAAGGCTTCATTACATAAACCCCCCTTATTTACGCCACTGCCGGGTAACTTCTTGTAATTGGATGAAATGTTCTTGAAGGATTTTCAGCATTTTTACTTCCCCCAGGATTCTGGGGGGGGGGGTAAATAACCCCAATAACCCCCCTTATGGCCGCCACTGGGTGCACAACCTATCAGGGTTCTACATTCTATGTTTCCATTTTCCTCGTTTCGGGCAATATGGGAGGGGAATGAGAAGCATAAAGAAAAACCTCCCTCTCTGCACTATTATTTTCTTTTTTCCAAGCAGGGTGTACTGCCATGTTTTATTCCACACAGGGCTCCGATCTGCCGTGTGAAACTAGGAGTGCATGTATAAGAACCTGACTGTCCTGAGGCTCAGTGGCAACTGTTTTAATCGAGATATAAATAAAGGAAACAAAAGTTTCAACCTCTTAACAACTTTTAACATTCGGTTGAACTTTTGTTTGTTTCGGGAAAAGAAATTATTTCTCAATGTACCATGTTTCGTAGATTTCAAAATCTAAAAACACTGTCCAATATTATGATAACACACAGTGTTAACAGTCTTAATTAATTACAAAATGATTACATATTCTATCTTGGTTATAACAATTGGAAAGTATTCATAAAATGCACAAAATTTTGCACCAAGTTGAGACCAACCTTGCTTTAGCCTGAAAGTAATGCTTTGTTTTCTAGGATAGCTTCAGCTGCTAGAGTAAAGTATAACGGAACAACAACTGAGAAACTAATGGGACAGGTTCATATCAAATCATTTGTAAAAATCTAAATAAAATTACAAAATTAAATTGTTTTATTTTGAAAACAGAACAATTCTGTCAATTTCATTCCTGTTTTTGCTGTAAAAAATTCGAAAATTGATTTGATGGAGAAAGCTTTTTGAGAGAAAAAAAACTAAGGATCTCTCCATCATTTTTGCTGACTTAAAAATGCCGCGCTGTACATTTAACTCTTTCATTGGATGTTCACTTGAAATTACTTCGACAAAGCCATGTAATTTCGTAATTTCGTACTTTTTTAATTTTGTAATTTTGAAATTTCGTAATTTTTTAATTTTTTAATTTCGTAATTTTTTAATTTTGTAATTTTGTAATTTCGTAATTTGTAATTTCGTAATTTCGTAATTTCTTAATTTTGTCATTTTGTAAGGTTAAATCCTGGATTATTCTTTCCTTTTTGTTGGGAACCACCTGGTCAGTGGGATTCTTTATACAGGAGGGAACACAGGTAAACCAGTGGGATTCTTTATACAAGAGGGAACACAGGTAAACCAGTGGGATTCTTTATACAGGAGGGAACACAGGTAAACCAGTGGGATTCTTTATACAGGAGGGAACACAGGTAAACCAGTGGGATTCTTTATACAGGAGGGAACACAGGTAAACCAGTGGGATTCTTTATACAGGAGGAAACACAGGTAAACCAGTGGGATTCTTTATACAGGAGGGAACACAGGTAAACCCGGTCTATATACATTTACTTTATACTAATACATTATTGTCTATTTCAGGGGACATAGTTCCAAACCTGCAAAGTTTTCTTTAAGAGTATAAAAACTACAGCATTTATTTTTTAAAAATGGGGGGGGGGAATTTAATTGAACAAAAATGTAAAACTAACAAAATTTAGTTTTTGATGAGTCTTGATTTCATTTTCGAATATATTCTTATTTTGTATTTGTGTACCTAAGATAGCCATCAACTTGGTTTTTTATTCTTATAGTTTTTGGACCACACAAATTTGCAAAAGTTCTAATATTTCAAAACTGTACTCCGTGAAAGTTTGTTTTTATACAATTTTTTAAAGTAAGAGAAAAGATCAGGAAAAACATTCTAAAACAATTATTTGTTGGTACGTTAAATGGCTAGTCAAAACTTGAAAATATTCCATTAAAATGAATAGATTAAAAATTTATTTAAAAATCCACTAATGAAAGAAAGAAAATCTACAAAATATTTAGTTTTATGGCGTGTTTACTTAGTAAGGAAAAACTAAATATGTACAGTTCATGAGAACCAGAAAACTCTGGAATAGGAATAGGAATTTTAGACTCAAGTTATTCCTACAAATATAGACCAATGAACATGAGACACAGAAATCTTGCAAAGTAAACAGACCCAGTTCACTTTATAAATAATTCAATAAGTTACTAGTAAAACTATTTGCTTTGTAACCACGCCAAATATAAGGTATTGCTTTAATGTCACCTTCCTATTCCACAGTTTTCTGGTTCACACTGTATTATGTATTATGTATATAATCTATATTACAGGAGTTTGCCTACTTGTTTGTTTTATTAAATGGTAGTTCTGGAGTTTTCATGTTTGTACACACCATTCTTCTAAATGAAGTTGTCTTACAAGAACTTAAAATCAATCTTGGAATAGGTAAACTCTATTTAGTAAATATTTTATCTATATACTAAAGCTTCGCTCATATATATATTTGAATGTATAAATGTTAGCTATAGCTGGCCAAACGGCTAGGCCGTTTTTTCCTTCAAAAATCGATTTTATTTAAATTAGATTTTTTTAAAATTCCAAGGGTTACTCCGGGCACTTCAGTTAGTTAATTAATTTAATATAATTCAAAAACTATTTTTTAGAAAAGAACGAGAAACTTGCAATTGATAACAGTGGATCAAGGTTAAATGGAGTCAAGGTATTAAAAAGAAAATGATGAAAATATTTTTATTTTTTAAACCAAAAAGAACGTACATGAGAATGTTAAAAGTATACATATAAAATTCTGATGAAAAATATTTTGTTATAATATATTTACCGAACAACAGGAGGAAAAACCATCATTTGAAGACAAAGGTTACCACAGGATTGTAGTTTTTATTTAAGCACAAAGTTTGGGATGGATAACACATTTATAATACGAAAACTGAATTGTTGAACTCAAATCTCAGATATTTAGATAAATATGTTTTTATTTTATGCAATCTTGTCAAAATAGACACAATATTTTTATTCTTTGTAAAGTAATGGATTTTTACTTTTTAAGTCACATTGAGTAAACAATATTGTTAAAGCTCTTTGTGGAAGTAACATATTTAATTTATCCATCCTTGTCATTTTGGATAGATGTAAAATAAGTTTTATGTCTGGGATTTTAGATTGTTCTTAAATTTTTCGTATTTTAAAAACATTTGTCTAAATATTTTGTCCTTTCACTGATAAATCGTTTTAGAGTTTCCGGCGAGACCAACGTCCTGTTATCAGGAAAAGGTCTCCCCGACCTCGGATGACAACTGATTCGTCCTCCAGTGAAGAGGTTTTAAGACAAGCTACTTATCACAGGAGGAAACCTGCTCGGAGAACGGAAGTATCCGGGGTGTATTACTTGCCAGAGTAAGTTCCGTTCTAATAGATAAAGATTATAGATATCCTTGCTTTTCTATTGCAAAATTTTTTATTTTCAATTGCAACAAAAAATATCTTAAGGATTATAGTTTAGCAGAGACAAGAAAGGAGAATAACAGAATCTATTTGTTTTTAAGATAAAAATCATGAAAATCTTCCCGTTTGTTATTGGATATTTAAATTTTCATGGTTAAGTCTTTATGATTGATGTTTCACTGTCCTATGTGTAGAGATATTACGTCTGGTATGTCAACACCAGATAGTTTACACTAACCCATGTTTAGAGATAATACGTCTTGTATGTCAACACCAGATAGTTTACACTGATCCATATTCAGAGATAATACGTCTGGCATATCAACACCAGATAGTTTACACTCATCCAAGTTTAGAGATAACACGTCTGGTATGTCAACACCAGATAGTGTACACTGCCCCATGTTTAGAGGTATTACGTCTAGCATATCAACACCAGATAGTGTTAACTGGTCCATGTTTAGAGATAACAAGTCTGGTAAGTCAACACCAGATAGTTTACACTGTCACATATTTAGAGATATTACGACTGGCATGTCAACACCAGATAGTCTAAACTGTCCTATATTTAGAGATATTACGTCTGGTATGTCAACACCAGACAGCACCTCCCTGGCTTCTACATCAAGCAACTCAAATGATTACAGAGGACTGATAAATAACTCGAGGGGTTCTGGGATTAGAACAAGAGTATCAGGAAACACAAGAGTAAGGAAGAACAACGGTTATGGAAACAAAATAAGAGAACCCAGGTTAGAAATTATATGAGCCTCTTTCTTTTAACAATATACGTCAAAATGGCAGAGAGGAAATCGGCTAAATTTTCTAAAATAACTCACATGGACCCGGGAAAGGATTATGAGTTATGTTTGACAACCAAGAGTTTAAAAATGTTGCCTTAAAATATTTTTTTTGTAAATCCGCCAATGAAAAATCATCAAAAAGATTGTCATAAAGAGCCCTGTAAGCCCAGATAATTAAAATAAAACACGTTTATTCGAAAAATTGTTTTTTAATTGTTCCAAGGTTTTTACTGAAAAAAAATTCTTGTTTAGAAATCCTATTCAATGGGAAGATATGCAAGTGGTAAACCCTGCAACCAGGGTTCAGGCAGGCCTGTTTCCTTTTTTTCAAGAACAAGGTTCAAGGCCTTTATATGAAGAGCAAGACACAAGGATTCCAAAATATCAAGATCAAGATAAGAGGGGTCCACAGCATCAAGATCAAGAGACAAGGGGGCCACAAGATCAGGATCAAGAAACATGGGAGCCACAATATCAGGATCAAATGACAAGGATTCCTTATCTGGAATTAATGAGACCAATGAACCCAACACTAACCAGAGTAATGACGGGTCTACCACAACCTATGGGGTGGCTACAAATGCAACAACAACAACAACAACCACAAGATCAGGAAATCCGGGGAAGGTTAAGGTTTAATAGGCACAGCAACAAGTGGTGATTTTAAAAATTTTGTTCATTCTTTAATTGGTTCTTATTAAATGAATTTTTTTAAAATAAAAGCATAATTAACATTTGTTATTTTGACATATTTGCATTTATTTTTATGTTTTCTTTAATGTTGTCTGTGCTTTGGCTAGTTTATGCAAGCGAGTGTGGAGAAGGTTTAACAAATGTGTGAACCATTTCAGCCTTCGGGTTTTACTATCATTGATATATTTTACGCAAAAAATGCTTGCAATGAAATCTAAAAAAATCTTTACTTAGTCATGTTAATTTGTATATGCCTTTCAACTTAAGAAAAAAAGTGTTTTGTCAGGATGGAATTCATTCAATATAATAAAATAAATAAAAACATCTTAAAGAGTCCATAAAGTTGTAAAAAATTTGTCCTGAAAAACTTTATTATTTTCTATTATGTGACATAAAAGGGCAGCTCAAATCCACTTAGATTTTACATGCAAAGTTTCTATTTCATAAACAAGAATATTAAGATTAACAAGGATGGAAGAACAAATATAAAACCTAGAGGAATACACTATACAATTACTAGTAGATTTTTGTTAAACATAGGACTGTGTGGCTTTAAAAAAAACAATTTTCTTTATCATCTCAATGTTTTTGTAAAAAATTATTATTTTTAAATACCAAAATAGAACATGTTCAAATATACAACCGTTTTTTAAAACATTTTATACTTATAAATTCTATTTTTCCATACAATTCATGAAAACAAGCAATCTATCCTCTCAAGCATCAAAATGAATAAACATTTATTCACTTTGCTCAAGTAAAACCTGAAAAGTATAGGATAATTGTAAATCAAATGATTTTTTTTATTTAAAATATTTATTTAAAAAAGCAATTTGTCTTTGCTTTAAAAATAGTTTTCAACAAAGAATCAATAAAAACAAGATTTAATTTTCAATAAATAATGACCTTATCCGGCTCGGAGGGGGTACTTAAACTTAGATATTGTGCCACAGGGAAGAGAATTTGGTCTTTTTATATATTTTTCTAAAAATCTTCATGTTGATTTTCTAAAAACCTATTCTTGAAAATCGAAATGAGCCTCAATTTTTCCAGTGAGGAGGGTGTCCATGAAATTTTCAAAAGGGGGACGTCCACCCTCCCTGCCTTAGCCGCCTTTGGGCTTGACTGCAAGGGCGTTTACAGAAATAAATCTATGCGCACTCCCCCCCCCCTCTAGGAGCTCATAGGGGGGGGGGGTAAAATTATTTGAACTGTAAATTCAAAACATTTCGCTTCTTGGATATCATATGCATAAGTATTAGATACTTTAAAGGTACACATACATTCCAGTTACCTTGCCAGTACTACTTTATTTCTCATTCAAACAAAAATAGCAGAAATAAATATGTTTCTAAAAAATCGACATAATTTAAACTATAGAGATAGTAAAAGACATTTTTGAAAATTAAAAACTCAACTGAAACTTAAATCCTATGAAAAAATGTCTTAAAGGTCTATAGGTGGCCATTGTCTCCCTTGCCCCCCTCCCCCTCCTCCTCCTCTACGCCCTTGCCTTCGAGTAATTTTAAAATTTAGTTCATAAGAATAGTTCGGTCAATTGATAGTTCTATTGATACGACACCTTTGAACATCGTCTTCATTGATACTCTATGTGGCAGTTGAAGTCTCAATAATTAAACGCGGCATCTGTGATTTTATACATATATTCAAGTACGCTATATTTTACGTTTTTATTATGGAAACTGTAGATTGTATACGGCGCAGAAGAATCAATTTTCTGTTTTCTGTTTTTTTAATGAATTTAACTATTTTAATTTAACGACCATTTTGGTAAAGTTTTTAATTGATGAAACTTCGCATTGACCTTGAAGTTTGGCTGACAGGTTTCACCTGTTTACTACATGTGTAATGTTTATTTTTTTACAAATCATCCCCCTCCCCCTACTTTGACGATAATATTTTTTGAGGAGGTTTCTGGGTATATTCCTAGAGAAAGATTTTTGGACCCCCCCCCCCTCGGCGGCCTCATATCAATTTTGTACATGGATCTTACAGAAAATGTCTTAACTTGACCTAACTCGTGGCCGCAGCGCCCGGCCCAGAAAGTGTCTTAACTAACCTAACCCGTGGCCGCAGCGCTCGGCCCGCTAGCCTGTCCTAGCCGCAGCGCTCGGCCCAGAAAGTGTCTTAACCTAACCTAATCCTAAATAACACTAAATAAATACTAATTTGGTCATGTACAAATTGATAGGAGGGGGGGGGGGGGTTCAAAAATCGTTCACCAGGACAGACCCGGTTTCTGTCAGTATCGGTTAATTTCAAGCTGTTCGCTGTAAAAAACCAAATGTAAATATGGACCAACTGATATAAGATCGAACCAGAATAAATTGTAGTTTTTTCACATATTAATTGGGTCTGTTCTAGATAAAGATGCTTGGTCCCCCCCCCCCTCCCCCACAAGTGCTTAGGATTCGGATCCAAGGGGTAAAATACCAACTACAAACTTAAATAAAACTTTTTTACTCCTAAAACCCAATCCCAAATCTTAACTTTTGAAAAAAAGAGAGTTTACAAAATTTCCTCATTTCTGAATGGTTCATCAAGTTTTAGATAAAAATAAGCGAAAAAAAATAAAACAAAAAATTTGAAAATTATTTTTTGTTAAAAATATTCAGTAAATCTTAAAGAAATTACCTGGATCCGGATCCATTTTTTCCCAGTGCGGATCCAGGATCCGGATCCGCATCAAAATTAAATGGATCCTATGCACTGCCCCCCACAAACATTCAGTTTCGGTTTCGTCTTTTTAACTCGTAAATTAATTAAATAAATTATCATTTTTTTGCACTTCTTGTTTGCTGAAATACATAGATTAGAAAATAAGAATAATGAAAGTAATCCTTAATAAAATTTGCAGGTGAGGAAGACCTAACCCATATATACGGTAATTTCCTAGTATACGAATTCTGGACCCCTCCATCGGGCCCCCCCCCCCCCTCTATTAAGTTTGTACACATGGGAAAACATGGTCCTGTGGCAGAAGCGCCCGGCCCCCTAGCCGCGGCGCTCGTCCAGCCTGTCCTGGCCACAGCGCTGCCCTCCCCCCTAGTCTGTCCTGGCCGCAGCACTCGTCCCAGAAAGTGTCTTCACCTAATCTTACTTAACCTAACCCTGAAATAATACAAAATAAATATTATTTTGTTGAAAGTAGTTGAAATTGAAAGAAGGGGGGTGGGGGTTCCAGAAATTGGTTAGAAGGACAGACCCTTATATGCTATATGAGTACAGCCCGGTTTGAAACTTCTGATTCTAAAATTGTAATTGTTCCAGAATCTACAAAATGGCGGATCGAAAGAAGAGTAAAAAGAAGCAGCTTGGTGTGGTGGAGGAAGAGAAACTGAGTAAAACAAATAAATCAGTTTTGAAGTGGTTAAGGTATTATGCAGTTGTCGTCGTATATATCAAGATAATGAAGATAATGAAGACGACTTTCGATTTCAATTTTGATGTCTACTTAGCTTTCAAACAGCATAGAAAACATGGAAAAAGTAAAATTATCAATAAACAGTTTCTCTTTGTTAACTTGTAAACTTATAATTTAAAGAAATGGTGAGAAATCAAATTCTATACTTTATTTGAAAAGTCGTTTTCATTGTATTGATATAATCAGCGACCTGTTTGTATGGCTTGTATATGCGGATCCACGGATCCGGGTCCAAGGGTTGAAATATCAACCAAAAACTGCAAAAAAAACTTTTTTACTCCTAAAACCCAAATCTGAACTTTTGAAAAAAAGAGATTATAAAAATTTCCTCACTTCCGAATGGTTCATCAAGTTTTAGGATAAAAAATAAAACGAAAAATTTGAAAATTATTTTTTGTTAAAAAATTCAGTAAATCTTAAAGAAATGACCTAGATCCGAATCCGGATCCACTTTTTTCCAGTGCGGATCCAGGATCCGGATCCGCATCAAAATTAAATGGATCCTAAGCACTGCATGTAACAGTAACTTTACGGGGGATGGAATGATGCATGACACCGATTCCGTGAGATTAGTTATGAACCAGGGTCGGGATCCAAGTAGCTAAATATTAACCAAGTTATGCGAAATACATTTTTTCTCTCTGTGGAGTAATTTGAGGGATTTTAAACCAAGTTTAAGCAAAATAATCAGCGAAAAATAGTAAGTGAAATTAGAAAAACGTAAAAATATATACATGAGGGAGATCTGGGACCATTTGTTACAGTTTGATCATGAGTATATGTTCATTAAATTCAAATTTCGGTTAGTATCGTCTTTTTTAAAAAATATTTAATTTCTGGGAAAAGCTTGCAATCACAAAACCGAATTTAATAAATTGAAGAGGTCGCTGAACTACCTACAGCCGGTACAAATCCTAAATCACCGATGTAATTTATCATGAATCTTTAACTTTGAATCGGAGATACAGCTCAAATTCATTAAATTCGGTCCCACGCATGTTTTACCCCGAAGCTTCGATTACTCCCCCCCCCCCCTTAATTAATAAGAACCCATTCCATTCTTATATTTTCCAAATCTAGGTTTATTTTTTGAAAAAAATTTATTTAGGAAGAATGTTCCGATTAAGAAGACCAAGTTTATGCACTCCCATGTTGTGGAGTACTTCACCTCAGCTAAGGCCATCGATGCTCTAGTCAACGACAGCCCCTGGTCAAAGGTGCAGTGTCAGTTAAAAATATTTTTGGGAAAGCAAGTGGACTCAATTCCTAATATTCAATTCTGATTTCGCCTTTAGCAGCTTTTGGGACATATTATAATATACGGTAGTATAAACATATACATGTCAGTGGGGGTTGAAATTTTTTTCAGAACCCAGTTTAAAGCTTTGAAACTGCGTGGTTTATAATAACTGCTAATTATTTGATATTTTTTTTTCAAAAATATGTTAGGTTGTCAAATTTTTTGTCCCTCGCTAATAAGTCCCCAAATTATTTTAAAATAATACACCGAGAGTTTCGTCTTTTTATCTATAGTTATTTTCCTAAAATATAATCCCCCCAGGAATTTAGAGTTTTTAACGATTAGAAAAATGAAAAATATTTTAAGAAATATATTATTTACTGTTAAAGGAAAAGGCTAAGGAAGGAAGTGAGTTGATTCTTGAGACACGATTTCAAGCCATAGATCTGCTTGATGTTCTCCTCAGGTTAAATTAGTTTATTTAACACTGGAAACTAGCTTTTTGTACTTTGTTTACATTAGAAGTGTACTGCAGCTTACCTAGCAGTGCCATGCTTAGGACCCGGAATAAACGGGGCAAAATACTAATCAAAACCTGCTGTAGATTAACACAGTGATGTCAAAACACAAATTTCAGCTGTTTCAGATTAAAAATAAGCGGAAAAAAGACTAGGAGGAATATAAAAAACTTGGTCTAAGAAGCACTGGTTTAGTTAATATTCCTCCCCGAGATTCAAATATTGCAGTACACTTTTAATAAAGTGTCCAGTATAGCCAAGCATGTGAAAATTATAAATATCTGTGAAGCCCTTTTTGACTAATTTATATATCAATCAATCAATCAATTAATTAATCAATCAATCAACTACAAAACTATTCTCCTTCAAAATCTTTGAACAACACAGTGTTAGGTGAATAAAGAACTTACAATGGGCACAGTTTTTTTTGGTTCCTTTTCAACAATAAACATTCATGGTTTCTTTGGTTTTAACAATAAACATTCATGGTTTCTTTGGTTTTAAACAATAAACATTCATGGTTTCTTTGGTTTTAAACAATAAACATTCATGGTTTCTTTGGTTTTAAACAATAAACATTCATGATTTCTTTGGTTTAAACAATAAACATTCGCGGTTTCTTTGGTTTAAACAATAAAAAGGCTCTGCAAAAATCGGAGATACAATTTTACTTTACTTCGTAGAAAAAGATATGAAATTATTTCTCATCTACAAACGCTTTTTACTATAATGTATTGTATACTCTAAGGCATGGTGATACAGCTCGTGAAAATATAAGAATGAAGATTGCAGAACTAAAGTTGCCCTCTGTTTTATATATTTCCCATCATCAGATAGGGGAATATTTTCTTGAAAAATCATTTCCCGTTCACTTTCTTTGAAAATAGTTTTTATCAAGAAGTTAGAAATTTTTGTGCGGAGAGCGAAGTTTTTTTCCTGCTGATTTTGAAAAAATATAATATTTAGGGGCGAAATATCGGAGTTTTTAGAGGAAAAGTATCAAAAAGGGTGAAAAATCCTTGACTTATGATGTTCAACTTTTAAGTTGTTCCCTTTTTCAAAAAAAAATTTCCCATTGGAGCAAATAAGCCTTTTTGTCAAATTCTTCAATTTTTTTAATACTTTCAGGAATAAGATGTTCCATCGAGCTAAGAAGATAACGGTTGCAGAGAAGGAAAAGAAGAAGAAAAAAGACGAGGAAGAGGAGAAAGTGGAAGAGGAGGAAAAGAAGGACTTGAAGCAAAGGAAGAAGAAGAAGAAGGAGGATGAGAAGGAAGCCAAGGAAAATAAGGAGGAGAAGGAGAGAGCTGCAGAGAGGGAGAAGAAGAAGAGGAAGATAAGATTAGAAATGCACAATGAACAAGTCATAATTGATGGTAAATAATAAGGGGTATAAATACATTAGTAATGAATGATTTGAGTAACGTTCGTTTGGACTGATGTTTATTTAGACAAACGTTCAAAAGGACTATTCCTTTTGAACAAATATTTGTTCAATTGAGCTTAATTTTCAATTTTTCAAGGTTACGACAATTTCTGGGCCGAGCGCTGCGGCTAGAATATGATTAAAAAATTAGTTCATTTGGAAATGATCTATTTTTATTTTGTACATATGCGCTAATGTTCCAATTGACTAAAAATCGGTATGTGAACAGCTGACTTTAGGGCAAATGTGCGTTAGTTCAATCGACGATTAGTCCAAAAATTATAGCATCTACATTTTGAATAGTAAATATTCAAGGGGATATAATAATATATATATTCAATAGTAATTATTTTAAGAATTTTGGCGCGGAGCTTAAAGCAAATTTTGCTCTCACTGAATTTGAGAAAAAAATAATTTTAATTGGGTAATGTTTTTAGATTCAGAGGGGCCATTAAATTCAATATTTTTTATGATTTTAGTGAAAGAATCCAAATATTTGTTTTTAATTCAACTTCTAACCTACTTTTTTTTTGTAAAATGCTTATTATTTAAATTTGGCAAGTATGAAAAATATATTTAGAAAAAAATAAGCTCAGGGAAGTAAAAGTACAAGTTCTTAGTTTATTAAATTTTAATTCAGCCACTAAGTACACATCTTTCCATTTAAGCCTTTTAGTGCAGTGCTTTTAGGCGGTCTGGGGGGTTCATAACGGGACCTCTTTTTCAGATTTCTTTTCTAATAGTTCTAATAGTGCAAGAGTACTTATGGTTCCACAGTTTTCCATAGTACCCTCTTACTCATATTACGTTGAAACGACTTTATTAGAATTAATTAAATTAATAGTTTTTTTTTACGACGAATTAGTGGGATAAATTAGAAAGAATTAATTACTATCAAAAATATCAAAATCTTAAAAAAAAATATTTTAATTTTATTCAAATATTATTTTTTTTATGATTTTTATTGTATCTGAACTGTAAACTTTTGAATTTAAGTAGCTTATCAAACCGCTTCGGCCTTCATGCAAGTTGAGTTAAATCTCTCACATATCATTAGTCAAGATCTTGCATTTCTAACTTATTAGAGAACGAGTTTAACTAATTTTTAACTGATTATAATTATTTGAAAAGTTTCTATCTCTGAATTTGTAGGAAATGAAGCGTATGTCTGGCTGTATGATCCAACCCCCTGGTACTACTATATTGCCGGTTCAGCAATAGTTCTCGGCATTATAGCCGTCTGTCTCTTTCCACTCTGGCCAGCAGAAATGAGGTTAATTTTCTTCATTTTCCTTCAGTTTTATCCTTGATCAAGTCTGATTCTGTTGTCTCTATCAGTTCAGATTTAATATTGTTTTTAATCAACATTAAACACTCATTTCATGTCATTTGCCCATAACATTATCATGCTTTTTATATGTAATTTTTGGTGGAATGTATTTATTTGGTTATATGAGTAACAATTTCAATCTATGCGAGAACTTTTTTTCTATTTGGGTTTGCCTGGGCGGTCTGGGGGGCCCATAATGGGGTCTCTTGCAGATTTCACTTCCTTATGATTCCTTATGTATTTGGTTAAAATAACAAGTTTTTTTTCTGAGAGCTTTTTTAATTACATAAATTACATAAATATACAATTTGTCTGTCTGTCATGTATTATCTGTATTCTAGACAAGGTGTATACTACTTGTCTGTATATTCTTGTATTATCTGTATTCTAGACAAGGTGTATACCACTTGTCTGTGTATCCTTGTATTATCTGTATTCTAGACAAGGTGTATACCACTTGTCTGTGTATCCTTGTATTATCTGTGTTCTAGACAAGGTATATACTACTTGTCTGTGTATACTTGTATTATCTGTATTCTAGACAAGGTGTATACTACTTGTCTGTATATCCTTGTATTATCTGTATTCTAGACAAGGTGTATACTACTTGTCTGTATATCCTTGTATTATCTGTATTCTAGACAAGGTGTATACTACTTGTCTGTATATCCTTGTATTATCTGTATTCTAGACAAGGTGTATACTACTTGTCTGTATATCCTTGTATTATCTGTATTCTAGACAAGGTGTATACTACTTGTCTGTATATCCTTGTATTATCTGTATTCTAGACAAGGTGTATACTACTTGTCTGTGTATCCTTGTATTATCTGTATTCTAGACAAAGTGTATACTACTTGTCTATGTATCCTTGCATTATCTGTTTTCTAGACAAAGTGTATACTACTTGTCTATGTATCCTTGTATTATCTGTGTTCTAGACAAGGTGTATAGTACTTGTCTGTGTAGTGTGTATTCTTATCTGTATTCTAGACAAGGTGTATACTACTTGTCTGTGTATCCTTGTATTATCTGTATTCTAGACAAGGTGTATACTATTTGTCTATGTATCTTTGTATTATCTGTATTCTAGACAAGGTGTATACTATTTGTCTGTTGGTGCAGCTGGTTTCCTTGTGTTTATTATCTGTCTCGCAATCATCAAGTACATCATCTTCCTGGCTCTCTTCATCTGCACTGCTGGAAAACTCAAGGAACTAAACATGGCAATTCAAAACTAAGGAATTCAGTCTTTGCCACAAACTCTGATTTTACAGTCCCTATATCTTTACAACACAATGTTGTAAACCATAGCACATTTCAAACTATGAATTCTGTTTAATTAAATGATCCAAGTTAAAAATATCATTGGTTTACAACATCAGGTTGCAAAGATAGGAAATAGAAAATTTTAGTTTGTGGCAAAGACTCAATTCGTTTCGTTTCAAATACTAAACAATATTCTTTCCCTTTTAAATAGCTGGTTTTTTGCTATTTATCAATTTTTTATTAAATCCTGCTAATCTCAAAACTCATTTATACACGTTCATGTTAAACCAGCTCTTAGCAAAGGAATATTACGCTTGGAAAATTAGACTCAATGGAAATATAAGTACCAACGGGTTTAATGATAAACCCTTGGATATCACCTATCCGACCCCCTTCCTTTAAATCAATTTATTCTAATTTTGCATATTTTGCATAATTTAACTTAATAAAAAAGATTTTTTTTGGAAAAAAATAAATGTTGTGAAAAGTGTCTTAAAAAAACAGGTTAAATTTTTCAACCAACCCCAACGCTTTAAAAACCTGTTCAACCTCTGTTTTAGATTACAGTTCATCACTAATAGAGAAAATAGCATTTTTACCTGATAAAGAAAAAATACCCCCCCCTCNTATTTAGTTTAAAAACATGTTTGGTTTGATCTAGTTCTGGATATTTAGTTTAAAAACATGTTTGGTTTGATCTAGTTCTGGATATTTAGTTTAAAAACATGTTTGGTTTGATCTAGTTCTGGATATTTAGTTTAAAAACATGTTTGGTTTGATCTAGTTCTGGATATTTAGTTTAAAAACATGTTTGGTTTGATCTAGTTCTGGATATTTAGTTTAAAAACATGTTTGGTTTGATCTAGTTCTGGATATTTAGTTTAAAAACATGTTTGGTTTGATCTAGTTCTGGATATTTAGTTTAAAAACATGTTTGGTTTGATCTAGTTCTGGATATTTAGTTTAAAAACATGTTTGGTTTGATCTAGTTCTGGATATTTAGTTTAAAAACATGTTTGGTTTGATCTAGTTCTGGATATTTAGTTTAAAAACATGTTTGGTTTGATCTAGTTCTGGATATTTAGTTTAAAAACATGTTTGGTTTGATCTAGTTCTGGATATTTAGTTTAAAAACATGTTTGGTTTGATCTAGTTCTGGATATTTAGTTTAAAAACATGTTTGGTTTGATCTAGTTCTGGATATTTCCGAATCTTACTGAGGATGTTGGGTTCATAGAGTCCTTTAAACCTGCATACGTTTATACATACACAGGACCTAAAAAGGTATGTTAGGGTCCCTTAATGCTTACGTTTATACATAAGCAGGACCTAAAAGGGTATGTTAATGTTCCTTAATGCTTACGTTTATACATACATAGGACCTAAAAAGGTATGTTAGGGACCCTTAATGCTTACGATTACACATACACTGGACCTAAAAAGGTATTTTAGGTCCCTTAATGCTTACGTTTATACATACATAGGACCTAAAAAGGTATTTTAGGTCCCTTAATGCTTACGTTTATACATACACAGGACCTAAAAAGGAATATTAGGGTCCCTTATACTTGCTTATGTCCTATAAAGGACCTTAAAAAGAATATTAGAGTCTTTTAACCCTGCGTACATTTATACATACACAGGACCTAAAAAGGTATGATAGAGCCCCTTTAACCTGCAAACACTGGTTTGACCTGATAAGGTGTGTAATTGAGATATTATAATTACTAAATGTGATGCAGTTGTCGAATCTTGCATAATTCATAAATAACTTTGCATTTAAAAGTAATTTAAAAATCCGTTCAATTATTACAATGTTTAACCAGAAAAAATGTATTTCAAGCTACGAGTCGAGAATAAATATTTAATTTTAGCCAATTTTATGTGTGACACGGCTCGGTCAGCCCATGGATACGTTTCGGCTCGAACTATTTTAAGATTCTTCATTTTCTTTTAGGAAAACGACAGCGATGATGAGTCGGAATCAGAGGATGAAGATGAAGAAGATGAGGAGGGAAAGAATGAGAAAGGTATGATATTTTTTTTAATATGAAAAGTTTAAGTTTCAAGACAATATTTTCTAAAATAATAAATGCGTGTTTCATTATTTTACACCTTGTGGAGTTGTAAATGTAATTTCAAGTAACAGTTTATGTATAAATATATATAAATATGAATTCAATATCAATGTTTTTATTTTTTAAAACTGTTTTCAATTTTGGTTTCTCTACAAAAGTGACTTGCACATTTCTACTCCATAAAAACAGATCTCATCTCGTATTATTATAAATCGAGCAATGCGATCTTTTTATGGTAGATCACAATCTTTATTGGCATAATTCTTTCTCAGGTGCAGAGGTTTCTGGAGACGGGGACGGAGAAGGGAGTGATACAGGCCGGGACGACCAAGGTGAGTGAGTGAGTGTGCTACTGCATTACATTGTTAATGGTTACTGTTTTACGCTTTTATTTTGCTCTGTATCAGTGAGCTGGAAATCGATTATTTATTTAATGGGATTGTTCAAAACAAATAATTAGTCCTTTCTTTTAGTAATTTCCTATTTAAAATATTGCTGTGTTGAAAAGATATAAATTTGACGATAGGCGGTTATATTTGATAGAATAAGAAAAAATGTAAAAAAAGAACGCCAGTATTTGTTTTACATTAACACGATTAGTTATTTCTGATTGTTACTGGGATGAATGTATATTGTAAATGTTTAATGAAACTGTTGAATTTGATGGTATTTGAGTTACGGGATCAATCCCTTAAGTTCTCTCTTGATGGGATGAGTCCAATTAGTTTAACAAATAGTAGTTCTCTGCAATATCACTCTTTCCAGAGAAACTCTGGAGTAGTATTCTCCCACGGGGAATCATTATTCTAGAACAAAAATGAAAAAGTGAGCATTTTTCTGTAATAATTTTATTCCGTCCCTCCTCCCCCCGGCCCCCTGCATTTCTTATAATTCTTAACTTTAAGTACACTGTGGAGAAAAAAAGCCTTATCAGTCTGTCCATTTAACTCCCCCTCCCCAGCCCCCAGTCATGTTTTCCTTTTATTGATAAATTATTTACATATTTATAAGATGGGTTAGGTAAAGACAATTTCTTGACTTAATTTCGCGGTTAGGAAAGTTTAGAAGTTCATCTTATTTATATTAACGAGAAACTAATGGGTAAACTTTGTACTTAAAACTTAAAAAACTAGTTTCTCCATGTACCCTGATAGTAAACTTTTTCTTTTATGAAGAAAAAAATTATAAAAATGTAAATTTTCCGATAAAATTGCATTTAATATTATAAAACCTACCCCTCGGCCCCCGAGTTGTACAGCATTACTGAAAATGTTGTTTTCAATTAAAACTTTTTAACTTCAACACAAGGTACTTCTATATCTGGATATTGTGGGGGGGGGGATTCTCACATTTCCCCTATTAATGGTTAAGAGGAGGGGGGGAATATTCTAAAAAATATATTTCCCTGCTTTTCAATTTTCATCTTGTTATCATTGTTCTACGAGGATTCGGAATGAATTACTTTTAACATTTAGATTTAAATCCAAGGTTTGAGTTTAAAGTTTTCATTACATTAGATTGGTACATTTTTCTAAGAAGAATAAATTTTACCTCCTTTTAAGCTGTAGCCTCTAAGTTGGCGTTGGTGGAGGTGGAGGGGGGGGGGGGATTTAACTTGTTAGTTGTAGCTTCTACTCACGTCCTATACGAGCAAAACAAGATCAAATCTGAACCCACACACACAAAAAAGAACCTACAGAGTGTCAGTGATTACTGACTAGCCAATTGTTTTAGCTTTTTTATATCTTTGAATATATTGAAAACTTAATGATTTTTACTAAAATTTTATTTATTCAAAAATAATGTAAACTCAAAAGGTTTCATGTTGAGGTTTGGTTTACCCTAGATGATTCCCCATTGGACTGCTATATTCCATTTGTATTCAATTTAAATTCTAGAAAACTTCCTCATCCCATTCTCCTAATTCCTCCAATCAATTTAATCCCATTAATTCCATAGAAACGTTAAATTCTGAACCAGCTTCAAGTAGAGAATAGAGAGGAAGGAGGGGAGGAAACAAAAGGGAATTAAGAATTCAAAAACATAAGGGGGTTATAGAGGTGGTGTTAGGTATTTTCCCAAAGGCATTTTCCCAAGGGCGACTTCCCAAGTGACAATTTACCAAGTCGCAACTTCCCAAATGTGCTATTTCCCAAGCGGCAACTTCCCAAAGGTTAGGTTAGGCCCTCTGAAGCGCCGCAGGCTGCAATTTGGGGCCGAGCGCTGTGGCTAGGTTGGGTTAGGGGCCGAGCGCCGCGGCTAGAACATGCCGGGGGTGAGCGCTGCGGCTAGGAAAGACTTGGGAAGTTGCCGGCGGGAAATTGCACATTTGGTAAGTTGCCACTTGGGAAAATACCTTGGGAAGTTGACACTTGGGAAAAATCCTTTGGGAAAGTACCTAACATCATAGAGGTGAGGCGGGAAGTTAGGGAGAGGATTAGGAAGGGATTGCGAGGAATGGCTACTGGTAAGGGTTGGGGGGGGGGGGACATTTTGGAAAAGGAGGGGGGGGAAGAGATTAGGAACGGAGGGATGGAGTTGGATCTTGGGAAGGGAGGGATGGAGTTGGATCTTGGTAAGGGAGGGATGGAGTTGGATCTTGGGAAGGGAGGGATGGAATAGGATTAGGATGAGACATTTGGAGAAAATAAGGGCGTGTAGATTAATACTTGGGAAGAAAGGGATTAGGACGGGAGGTAGGCTTAAATTATTTTAAGTTCAAGGAACTTTAATTACAGAACAATCAATTAGTGCAAGCACAAATTTCAATTTCAATTATTCACAAATATTTCAATGATTTCAAACATGTTATTTCATGATCTTGTGGTTATTGTTTTTATCTTGTTGTTATTGTTATGATCCCCTTGTTATTGTTATTATATTCTTGTTTCTATTGTTATGACCTTCATGTTATGATCTTGTTATTCTAGGGAATGGCAGTGAAGAAGAAAACAGCCAAGGAAGTGAGAGCGGTGGTTCAAGCAGAGAATTCGAAATTATTGACAACAAACAAACATAGAAAACATCTCTCTCTTGTTGGACGACAACTAATGGTGAAATGATGTCAGTATGACGTTCACGAAACGTGCATAGGATAATATACATGATGCGCCAGCGTATTTAGTGTTCATCAATGTTTGTAATTTCCGGTGAACAATTTCGGGGGGGGGGGAGATAATATTTGTTGTACAAAGCAAGAATATTTTACCTCTTTAAAGAAAATTAATGTTTAAAAATCTTCAAATTTTAAAATGTCCCATCAAAAGCTATTTTAAAAATTAAGAAGAACTAATATTCTAAATTTGAGATGTTTTTTTTTAACAAAATATTTATTTTATATTCTTTTTTTGTGGAATTGAAGCTTGGTTTTTTATATCTTGCCCAATTTTTAAAATGCAAGTTGATTATGTTTTTTTAATGAAAATTGTATTCTTGAAAATTTTCCTGACTTAAAAAGCTGGATTTAAATTAGTTATTTTTATACTGCATTTAAAAGTGTCGACTGAACTTTTAAGTTTTGAAATATAAAATTATATTTATCAAATTAATTTATTTAAATAAATAGATGTTTAGGTGTGTTCTTAATATCAGGGAATTTATAAAATTTAAAGCTATTCTATAAAATTTAGTTATCTTGGAAAAGTGAATGTGATCACTGATTGCTATCACATAAATTCAAGAAATCAGTTAACTTTTTTTTATGAATTCTCGAAATGCATGCATATTAAACTGTTTTTAAATTTTCCTTGTGTTTTGTATTTATTTTATATCATATAAAATTGAAACATGTAGAAATACGATAAACATTTTTCAATTTTTATTATGTTTTAGTTTTTTAGCCCCTTTTTGTTTTGTAGCTTGTTTTCGTTTTACAGATTTGCCTGCGCAGAAGTGAAATTTAGTGATGCTTGCTTGTGTTCCACGCATGTAGTTTTCGTTTTAGTTAATAGTTAGAAATCCAGCATTGTTTTTGCGGATTTTTGAAAGCAGAAAAATGGCAGAGAAATTTCTTGTCACGCCGACCTCATCAGCCAGGTTCATAATTATACTAACTTTTTCATCCTGATATCATGAAACAATTTTTTTGTTTTGTTTGCAAGCCACGTCCTGATCTCCGGATTACTAATTTAAAGATTTTTTCTATTTATATTCTTTTTTTTAATCAGTTCTTGGGATTTATTAAGAAATCTGAGTTAAAATTAAATAGTTTAGACCCGTATTTGAAACTAACTATAAAATAAAAATAAATATGAGAAAGATTTAATCATAACCAAGATTTAGAACGTTGGAAATTTACCCTGAAATGGGGGGGGGGATATAATTACGGTCAGCTCTGCAGAGTGGTTTGATGGCCTGGTAAAAATGTATTTGTTTAAGTATCTACAAAACATAATTATCGATCCCATAGTAGTTATGCAAGTACGTTTCAAACTTTGATTCCTCATTATTTTTAATGATATTTGTTAAACATTTATTTTTATATAAGTGTAAGGTGGGTATTGAGGGGTGTCGAGTATTAACCTTAAACCTAGAGAATATTTGTATGAAATAATAAACCAATACCCGCGATTTAAACTAATTTAAGACTCAAGCTTAGGGATCTAAGTTGCAACTAAATGTTCACAGAGTTTTGTTTTATTAATTCCGTTTAATCGTATTTACAGCGTATTTTCATGGTTAAAATTGACAGATTCCGAGAATTTATTAGAAAAAGACTAAACATTGAGACTAATTCTTCACTAAAACCAACCAAGGTCGTTATTATTTTCATTGGGCCAGGGGCCTAATTTCGTTATTTAAGCCGAAGATCTTGCAGCTGTCAATCGCGTAAGATTGAGCCTTAAATCTGGGTTTATGGAATTACGACTCGAGCCGATCGGGCTCAGCTGAATTAGCGCAGAAAATAATGATGTAGTTGTATAATTGTTGAAACAGGAAAGATGACCGAACCCAGCTGATTGAAGACGAGCAGCTGACCCCAACCAATCCCTTCGCTAGCCAGGGGTCAGCTTATGGTTCGGTAGAAGTCAACATGGGGAAAGGTGAGTCGTCTTTTTTTATTTGTACGGAGAGAGAAGGAACAAGTGGTTATTGAATTTTATCCCTTCTCAAAATTTTAATAATGCATGATACTTTTTTAGATTTTTGTAAATATCTGAAAAAGGTTTGTTGTACATTTTGTAGAAATACACTATACAGTATACACATATGTCGTGAAAAAATATTGTCTTTGTATAAATTGTTTTTTTTTTAATGGAATTTACTAATCCTGCAGTTTAATTCCGGTATTTTTACGTCGTAAACTTTTGATTTGGTTCAAAGTAACTTTTAACTATGGAAAGTTTGTTAAACTTTTTTGCTGAATAGATAAAATAATAAATAAATAAATTTTTAAATAAATATAAATAAATATAAAAGTATTTTTTAACCATTTTTGCAACTTTCTCCCTTTTTCCAAGCTGTTGTGTGACAAAACCAACTTTCAAATTAGTTTTTTCAAGTTTGTTTGAGTTTCTAAATGTTTATAGTTTCTAGGTCATACTTTTCTGTTTTGCTTGGTTTCTGTTTATAACTTGAGGGATTCCTCAGTCATTGCTTTTAAACAGAAGTCCATGGTTGCATTTTATCCCCCCGCCCACCCTCCTTCCCCTGATTTGCTTTTATCTGGATTATGATGGAAGAAAAGAGATGTATATAGGGTTATCTACAAAGAAAGGATGAGACTTCAGAGACGACTGTGCGGAATTTATACATGTCTGTTTCCCTATATTCATGATTCCCTTCTACTTTAAACTTGTTTCTTTCTTTTAGGTCGTCTTTACAGTCACACGTCAAATTTATGTTTAAGAAATGAAATTATTAATAAAAATAAAAAGCATAAAAAGCTCTGACTCAAAAAATATACATTTACGTTCCTAGGCGTGTAAAATTTCATTTTATTGAAATGAAAATTTTATTTGGTTGAATAAATACTCATATTTCAATCCATCCATATTCAAATATTATTCAAGAAGCGGATAAAATCATTTTTTAATTTGTTTTTCTCCATTTTTAGTACTTTTTAAATCTAATAAGTGCACTATTCTTAAATTTTTTATTTAATTCTGCAGAAAACTAAATAAAAATCCTAATTTTGGAGAAAAAAATTATTCTAGAAGAAAGTGATGGAAATCAATGATTTCTCAAGAAAATATGTACCCCTCACAAGTTTTCTACAATGTAAAACGGTAGTTTCATTATTTGTTTATCAGGGGTGTATATTTAATTGAAAAAAACATCCACCCTTTTTTGAAAATCATTTTTTGCCACATCATTTTGCCACATCATTTTTTCACTGAATTTAGAAAAATAAATTATTTTTCAAAAAAATTTGTATGTCCTTTATCACACACCTATCCCCCCCAGATTATCAAAAAAACATTATTAGATAGTTCTTAAAATTTTGTATCCCTTTAATTAATGCTTAAAATTCTGTAACCCTTTAAGTAGTGCTTTTAAGTTTAATTAATGGTAACTCGTTTTTTTTCTGAAAAATGCTTTGCAAAGATTAACGTTATTTTAGATAGCAAATCATTATCTTTGTTATCATTATTAAAATTTAATGGATGATAACTGTTCTGAAAGGAACATTAAAATGGGACTTGGTAAATGGAATCCATAATGAATGAATTTTTGAAAAAAATAATTTTTTTTTGAGTTTTCACTCAAAAGAAATCAGGTTTCTTTGCCATTATAAAAAGATTTTTTGTTATAAGTCTAGAATATTTTTATCTTTTTGAAATTTTTGAATGAAAGAATAAACTTTTATCTCAAGTTTAAAGGAAATTACACATAATATATAAAATATATACACTGTAAGAGTTCAGGGTTTGTAGGAGTTTGAAAATCATCTCTATAATAAAACAAGACATTTATATATATTATATGTGTTGCGTACATCCTGGCCATACTGCTGGACTTAATGGGCTGAATTTTTTTGTGGACACTCATGGTTGGCTTGGGGGTGTTACAGGCTGAAAAGAAGTTGAAAACTTTTTTTTCCAAATTTTTTTTATGGCCGCCGCCGGGCCCTTCAGCTTGTAACATAAAAAATAAAATTAATAATTTTCTAGCTATTCTGGGAAATATGTTCCATGCACACATAACAATGTATTTATTCTCCAGTTTCTTATTATGAAAATTACTTTGATGGAAATATATTTTCTTAAAAAATCAATTTTCTTCTTAAAAAAACACATTTAAATCCCCATTATGTCCCCATTTGTTTGTTTAAGTGACTGTTGATATAATTACAAGTGACCCTCTGTTATAGAGGGTGGTGTCACTGTCTTATTACTTGTTTGATCTGAAATGATTTAGATTTCTATGTTTTTCTTACTGAAAATTGATCATGTTTGTTTGAGGTTTTCTCTTTAAAAGTGACATGGGGACAGGAACAATGAAGACAATTAATGAAATTAAACATGTTTATAAGTTAAAATCAACAAGATCTTCAAAGAATTATGAACATGGATTGGGGGGGGGGCAGCTGATCAAAAGTTCAATGTAAAGTACACACAAGCACACAACCTTCCATATTTGTTAATATAAATATATAATTATATAACATATCAATCTTCCATCCAATAAAATTGGGCCAAATATCATTATAAACTAATTTATACTAACAATAAACGGAAAATAATAATTCTAAAAAATCATTTTAGCCAGTATACTGGGGGGGGGGGGATTACATTTTAACCTTGGGACTAGAAAATATTTAACATAACAGGGGATTATTTAGGGAAATTTACAACTAAGGATAACAAACGATTAATGAAGTAGTTTCCCATAAAATATTTATTCTAAATACCTTCTCACTAAAAAACCTAACGTTATTTAAAGATACTGGCTTTTAAGGCACTTAGCGCCCCCTTCCATATTAACAGTGTTAGCAGTTTTACGTTTATTAGATTCAATAACAAACAAACAAACAAACAGACACCAAGACAGACAATCAAAGTTGGGATCGGAGAATCTAAGTGTACAGTCTCTTTACCAGTATTGGTTCCAACAATTACCAACTTATGATTGTGGATAATAAAAGTTATATAAAGTTGTTTGAAAGAAGAAAGAAGTTCTTAAAAATTGTTCCAATTATGTGATTTTTCTTACTGCAGGTTTTAGGAGAAGGATGTGAATTGGTTGCTCTAAAAAATCAATTTTTTTAACACTGTATTTTATTCTGTAATATAATGAGCTTTTACACAACTCTATTTGATATGTTATGATCTTACAAAATG